AGATAAAGGTATAAAAAAGGTAATTTATCTAAATTCAGAAATTTACAAGGGTTGTTTCAGAGTATGAATTTAAAAAGGGGGGTCAACAGCTAAAGAAAATTAAAAGGTTCTAGATATGAAAGAAAATATATATATAGTAGAAGGAAGAAAATGTTTCTGGGTAACAAAGTCTTTGTGTGATGAAATAAACAACATGAGGATCTAAATAAATGATAAGAAAGTTTGTGTAAGTAAAGGGCAATTTCAACAAGTTTATGTGTAACTAAGTTGGTTATTACGTATGTGGAACAATCAGTTAAAGCTATTTAAGGTTTTTCCCTAAGGTCAAATACTAATGGACTAATATAAAACCAAGGTTTAATCTATATGTTAACCTGACAAGGATTTCTTAAAACATTAATTTACTATAAACATTGCATCTATCAAGTTTTATTCTCTAGAGTAACTGGTCTTAAAGAAATTAGAGTTTATCCAACTCTGGTTAAACAACTGTTATTTTAGGTATTATACTACATTACAGAGTCTAAATTTTTCTTTAAAAGCTAAACTTGGTTAATATAAAAAACATCAGTATAGCATACTAAATATGTTCATGTTTTCCAGGTATACCAGTCTTTAAAGCAGGAGGTCTAAAATAAAAAAACATTTTATAAACTGAGGTTCTCCAAACTAAAGTTGTCTGTAATGGTAATTTTAGACTTATAAGAATAAGAAATTTGGCTGGACACAGTCACACGTACCTGTAATCCCAGTAGCTTGGGAGGCTGAGGCAAGAGGATCCTGAGTTCAAAGCCAGCCTCAGCAATTTAGCGAGGCACTAAGCAACTCAGTGAGACCCTGTCTCTAAATAAAATACAAAATAGGGCTGAGGATGTGGCTCAGTGGTTGAGTGTCCCCTGAATTCAACCCTGGTACCCACCTCCCCATAAAAACAAATTTAATTGGGGATTTATGTATATCATTTCATGTTGTGTAACTGAACCTAAATCTTATATTACTTTTTATACTGGGGTAAAATGTAATATATTTCTAAAAGATAATGAGAGCCTAATCTATTTAAAGATTAATATCATGAAAGCATTTTGCAACTTTTCCTTACAAAATGAAAGTTAAAAGCTCTCTCAGCCTTTCTTTGATTCATGTTTTAAATGTGATGTTATATTGTGTTAGCTAATGTACATATAGACTCAGGAAATAATATGTGTAAACTTTGTAAAATGACATTTAAGAAAGAAGCAAAGATCAACTTCAGAACTAGAACACTTTACCTAAGATTTGTGAAAAACCCTACCTTACTTGAGATAAGGCTCTGCCTCCCACCTTACTGCATGTTAGAATGGCTCCAAAATAGGCCAGACTTGAGCTCATTTAAAGTTGTGTTCAAAAGATTGATGTTTGTTGTAAAGATTACTGTGATCTCAAACAGGGGATATAATTTATACCTCAGCCAAAATTCAAGATAGCTATTACACAAATGGAATATGTTTTCACTCTTATTAATTCATTATGTATTTTCCTTGTAAACTCTATAACTGTTGCTTGTTAATGTTTTGCAGAGATACTGCTTAAAGAACAGTCTGGGTTAATTTGAGATAATAAGCAATCACCTACAGGACAGATAGGATATAAAGCTAATTTCCAATGCTAACATTGGATCCCAATTAAATAATAGGAGTAGATGACTGTAAAGTTATAGACACTGAAGTTAAAGTCCACTACTGTTACTTTAAGACTGGTGAAACTGCCTTGCTAGATGTTTAACACCAAGGCTCAAAGATTAAGGTTAGGAAAAAAAAAGGCCAAGAAAAACAATATTTGGCTCCTGCCCTCTGAGTTAGCCTGAACCCAGAGAATGAGAGAACTTCCCTAAGGAGCTTTGCAAGTCTGGGCCACATGACCTCCTGATCAAGGAGATTAATGAGACCACTAGAGAATGGAAAGCCAATCAGTGCACCTGCTGAAAAGAGGAGGGTCATTGGAGAAGGGAGATATCCATGATGCTTCCAAGGGAAGCCACCTCATCAAGGAGATGGCACTAAAAGAGCTAAGAAGCTCTCTTAAGTTCCCTGAGACTGACCCCTGTGGAAACTCAGCTGACTCTTAACAGCAGATAGGAACAAGATCAATTTGAGCAGCTTGGTCTTGAACACCTAGCAAAAACAGTTATAACAAAAATACAGCCATACCTGGGCACTTTAAAAGAAAAACAATAATTATTTTAAGTATAACTTAAGTTGTACACTTGTGTCAGTCTCACAGCCCTGATGTCCCCAAACTTCTGAGATTTATGCTTTGCAAGGCTCATATTTGCCCCTGCCTACCAAAATTAAACTGACCTCTGTACCTTAATTTTTTTTACTTCTCAAACTGACATTTAACCCCACAACCAAAGCCTACCCATTCCAATAATGGCACACACTAGAATAGGAGAGTCCCCAAATTATTCCCTTACTCATAGGGCTAGAAACATCCACCAGGATTAACACAGGAGCAGTGGGATTAGGAACCTCTATTCACTATAAAAGTAGTGAATAAAATTCACAGGTTATTGCAGATATTCAACAGATCACTGATTGGGTACCAATTTACAAAATCAATTGGACTCCCTGGCATCTGTCATCCTATAAAACCACTCAGGAAAGAATGCTATTTCTATATAAACCAATTGGAAGTGAATAGTGAGTCTCAATATGGGAAATCAAAAATCATCATCCATCTTAACTCTTCCCTTCATAAAAAATTCCACCCCACTGCATGTGTATTAAATCCCTATGTTGTATTATCTTGGCCCATTCAAATACAGTATAATGCTTCCCAAAATATATATTATGTTAAATGTGAAGACCATATGTTGCAGCACTGTATTAATCAAACCATATGGAAGAACCCAGAACAAACTGCTGTTCTTAAAATGCCAATAGCTATCTATCTCCCTGTAAAATTAAAAGAACCGTGGCAGGAAACACCTTCAGTAGTATTCATGCAAGAGTTGCTAAGACATGTAAAGCACCAGGCTAAATGATTTATTGGGTTGTTAACAGCTGGTATTATTGGTCTGACTAGCATCATTGCCTCTACCTTCATGGCACCAGTGGCCTTACCCAAGAGGCCCAAACAACACATTACCTTCAGCAATTCCATAAAAATTATACTGAAACCTGGCAAACTCAAGTATATATTGATCAGGAAATTCTGAGTAAAGTCTAGAAAATAAAAGATTCTGTTATATGACTGGGGGAACAAATACAAAATTTATGGTAGACCCAGGGACTTCAATGCCATTATAATATTACTCACTTTTGTGTTACTAGAGTTCCATACAATGAAACTGAGGTTCGATGGCAAAGTGTACACAATCATATAATGGGACTTAAATCATTTCACAATGTTTATTTAGATGTATTAAAATCACAATCTCAGGTCCAGGACATGCTTAATGACAAAACATATAATTTTGATAATGAAGAAATTTGGTGCAGTTTAGCTGAAATTTCTTCCCTTTACCCTTTCAGGTACTTTTCTACACATATAGCTGGATTATTAGCCCTAACTATACTATTACTTGTATCCCTGTTCTTGTTTTGCATAATTTGCCGAGCAGGATGGAAATAACTAAACCACCAGGAAAATATGGTTCCGAGGTAAATCATGCTTGCTATGCTCCAAAGGAACTGGATCACTGAAGTCATGAGAATAACATCTCAAATCAGATTGGGCCTTAATTAAGAATAACAGAGTCCTCAGATATATTACATGCCAAAACCATTTTCCTAGCACTAACAAATTAGTTAATCTTCACCTTTCATGCTAGAATTATTCTCCTACCACTAGTAAGCTAGTCTTCATTTTAGATGCTAAAATTGTTTCCCCTAAGCTAACAAACCAGTTCATCTTCACACATTGTTATAATGTTTTTCTTTTCCCCATTTTTAGTTTTACAATTTCTTAATAAAGTGATCAGCTCAGCCACAACAGCTGGGAAATATCTCAGAGCATCTCTCCTCCCACCACTCACTGCCTGATCTTCTGGAGCAACATAGAGAGAACTGACATTGCTCACAATGGCTTCAGAACTTCCCCCACACATCCCCCTCTGCATGACCTTCATATTCACTTCCAGGACTCTGATAGGAAGCCCCTCTTCCCTACATCACCCCCTCCCAGCATGAAGCAGTTAGAGACCTCGACACCCAATTTCCTCCTTCCTTTCAGAGTCTGGAATATTAGATATGGAAAATGACAAACCCCAAATAGTGAGACCTAGGTAAAGGAGAGTGAGAAAGAAAGCCATACATTGAGAGCATTCCCAATACATTCTTTCCCACTGATAAAACAAACCCTGGGGAGGAGGTGTCCATCAAACCTAGAAAGGTAGTCTCTGGGAAGAGGCCAAAGCATTAATCCTTCCCTAAATAAATCCTTTCCACATACCAACCACTGACCCCAGGCCCTCAATATGGTCCAGTAAGATAAATCCCAGAGACTGACCAGTGATCCCACATTCCCTCCCATTTCACTCAGTAAAACAGACCCCAAATTCTTGAGTGCCCAAACTGACATGCTTATTAATTAAGTCACTTCTCAGTATAACCTACATAAGCCCAGTCCTCTCCTTTGTTTGGGGGCTCATTTTCCACCAGGAGAGTGGGTCCATTCCCATGGGTTTAATCCCATTCCTGAATAAAAGGCTGAGATGATCCATGGACTTTGCATTGGGCCTAGTCTGGTCCTTTTGTGCTAACACCCTAGACCTTGCCTCCCTCACCTCAGGGTCTCACTGAATTGCTCAGGCTGTCTTCAAACTTTGGATTCTTTTGCCTCAGCCTCCCAAGTAGCTGATTTCATTACTAAACATGGTGCATTTTGGGATAAACCCCAAACTGAAAAACATAATGCTCATGGTACTGGGAATGGTTATCATTATGACCAGAGCAGCATGCAAGGATAGAGAGTGGAAATGGAAGATGCACACACAGCTGTCATAGGGAAGTCCAGATAATATGAATATTGTATTAGTTTGCTTTTCAAATCCCCCTAAGGTCTCAGACAAAGAGTCGGAAAAGGATTCAGAGTTGGATAAGCACTTGGAATCAAAGGTTGAAGAAATTATGGCGAAGTCTGATGAGGAAGGAATGCCTGATCTTGCCTACGTCATGTACATTTTGTCTGCAGAAAATACCTCAAATTTACCTCCTGAAGGAGGTCTTGCTGGCAAGTGCAATATTATTGAAGCTGTTTATAGTAGACTGAATCCACATAGAGAAAGTGATGGGGCCTCTGATGAAGCAGAGGAAAGTGGATCACAGGGAAAATTGGTGGAAGCTCTCAGGCAAATGAGACTTAATCATAGTTGGAAACTACCAATAACTTCTGGAGGAGATATTGACTAGTTACAGGCTAGCTAAAGTAGAGGGAAAAGAAAGCCCTGCTGAACCAGTTGCTGCAGCTACTTCCTCAAACAGTGATGCAGGAAACCCAGTGACAATGCAGGAAAGCGATACTGAATCAGAAAGTGGTCTTGCTGAATTAGACAGCTGTAATGAAGACACAGAACAAAGATGAGTGGTGGAAAATATTACTTTTTTGGTAATATTTTTGTGATCTTTGATTTGGTGATTTTTACTTAGGAAGTATAATGTGTACATTTATATAACCATTTTGTTATTTGAATCTTGGAAAATTAGTTTTATTATATTCAAATAGCCTTGTTTTTTTAAAAAGGCCTTTGCATATATCTTTATAAGATAGTTTAAAATTGACTTTTATAGTATTTTGAATTTAATTAAATTATATGTCATTTCACCTTGTATGTAGGCTACCATTTATTAAAGCCAGTAGTAAAATTAATATTTGAAAGGATTAGAAATGACTGATTAGAGAGATTACTGTATGTTGTGGAAAAACTTGTTAATGTAGAATTATACTGCTTATTTTGCATATTAGTACATTCACAGCTTTGTAATAAATTTGTGCTTTCTTTAATAATTTTAGTTCTTAAAAAAATGGCTGATGCTGGCCTGGAATTTTTCTTTCAAGGTTGATGATTTGTGTTTTGTTTGATTTGTTTATATTTAACATCTCTGTAGTTTTAGTTTTAGAAGTTGTGAGATACTGGGTATGTGGTTATTTTTTCTTTCTCTTTATTTTTTTGAAACATAAATTTTGAAACCTATGTATTATTCAAACAGCTTTGGTTTGTATAATCTGTATTGCCTAACTACACACACCAAAATGTATGTCAACCAAGTGTTTAGAATAACATTATAAGTGTTTAAGCCCAAATAAAGCATGTGATGTGGAATAATCTAAAAGAAAGAATAAAATAGCTGGGTAGAGTGGCACATATATATAATCCCAGCAACTCAGGAGGCTGAGGCAGGAAGATTGCCAGTTCGAGGCCAGCCTGGGCCATTTAGTGAAACCCTGTTTCAAATTTAAAAAACAATTTTTTAAAGGTCTAGGGATGTAACTCAGTGGTAAAATATCTAAGTTCAATCTCTAGAACCAAACATACACACACATAAAAATAAAATAAAAATTTAAAAGGCCCTTTGTAGTCACAGGATCCAATGTATAAGTATGTATTAGAAATACTAAATAAACCAAGAGTGGTAACACACACCTATAATACCAGCTATTCAGGAGGCTGAGGCAGGAGTACCACAAGTTCAAGGTCAGCCACTTAACTAAACTCTGTCTCAAAAAAAATTTTTAAGAACTTGGGATATAGCTCAGTGGAAGAATGCTTGTTTAGCATGCATGAGGCCCTGGGTTCAATCCCACAATACTGCAAAAAAAAGAAAAAAGAAGAGAGAGAGAGAGAGAGAGAGAGAGAGAGAGAGAGAGAGAGAGAGAGAGAGAGAGAGAAATAGAAAACAGAAAAAAATAGAGAAAGAAATACTAAAATAGTACCAGTACCTCCTAAGCTGTCAAGATCCTCAAGAATCCTGCCAAATCTGTGAAATAAAGCAAGCTATGAATTAAATGAAAATCATGAGGCACTTTAAGGCAATAAAAATCAATTCTAAAATCATTTGTGGTCATAGTTACACAATTCTCTCAATATACTAAAAACCACATAATTACATAGTTTATATAGGTGAATTGTATGCTTGTGAATTTTCTTAAAATAATTATACAGAAAGGAAATAAAAATAAAAATAAATAAAAATACATCATGTTACCTTACAGTGTTTTGAACAGTTAAATATTTCTCTCGTAATTCAGGCTCACTACCCAAAGGCAAGAGAACTTCAATATAACTGTCCTTCATTCTCCTAGGTGGCAGTTCCTTCTGTGACTTAGCCAAAAAACTGTAAAGTAACTTCCTTTCCTCCATTGCTTTCACATGGTCTCTGAGAAGAAAAGATGAAACTTTTTACAAACAAGAGCAGCATTATCCCACAATTCCAGTGATATCCAGGCCAGTCAGATACCATCAAAGGAGGAAAGAAGGAGTCTGGACCTACTTCATCTCTTCCTTCCCTTCTTTCCCTCCCACTACTTGGTGAAACTGAAATTTTCTGGTAACTTTTCTTAGGTTTATAGATAAGAAAAACATACTTAAAAGTTATTCAGATATATCCAAATGGATCATATATTCACCTTGATCAAAGAGTTTATTAAAAGAATATAATATTTAAATCAAACTAAAAATACACAGAGATGGACAGAATAGTCTATATGTGAGATAAAGAATAGCCTGTTCCCTGAACACCAGGTTGCCATTTCTCACTTTGAAAATTCTCAGATTCTCTGTACCCAGGCTGGCTGGCTGGATGGCTTACTCTCTTTCTCTCTCCCCCTCTCTTCTTCTCTCTCCCCTTCAATTTTATGAATGAGAGACTAAGGAGGGAAAATGGACTATATCCAAATGAAGTATGAAAGTAAGAAAAAAAGGTAAAGAGGAAAATAACATGAAAAAGAGACAAGGGAGAGGAAAAAGAAGAAAATATTTAGGAGGAAAAGAAAGGAGAAACATAGGAATAAAGAACTGAAATATTCACAATATTATTAACTAATATGTCTAATTATTAACTAATTATTATTAGTTATTAATAATTAGTTATATTACTAATTATTAACTAAGATGTCTTTCTAAGCTTAACTTATGAAGTATTATTGCCAGAATGTTTAACCTGCAAAAAATATAGATATAGAAACAAGTTAAATGATACCAAGGAATCCCAGAATAGGGAACATTCTCAAAACAAATGGCTTGGTCTCTTTAAAGTCAAACAAATGGGGGAAAAGGGGGAGGATAACTGTCATTTGTTCAAGATTAGGGGAGAATAAAGTTGAGGAAATCTGAATGTGGATGACTATTACACTACTGGAGAATTACTGTCTATTTTATTACGTAAGAGAATGTCTTATTTGTTAGAGATACATAAAGGCTGATCTTGTCAGCCAATACATGTATATTGGTAAATTTGTATTGAATCCAGATAGTGAGTATTCATTCCTTCTACTTTTCAGTAAATTGAAATTTTTCATATTGAAATTTTTAAAATGTGTCATTCAGCCAACTGCAGTGTGTTACCTATAACCCCAGCAACTGGGGAGGCTGAGGCAGGAGGATCACTAGTTTAAGGCCAGCCTCAGCAACTTATTGAGGCCCTAAGCAACTTAGTGAGACCTTGTCTCAAAATAAAAAAATAAAAAGGGCTGGGGATGTAGCTCAGTGGTACATATTCCATAAGCATGTAAAAAATGTTGTTATGAGAATCAGTAAGGTAATGTACCTGAATGCACTTTGAAAAATGAACACATGCAAATAATATTATTTTATGACAATGTTGCATCAATTTATCATTGTACTAAAATGTTAATCTTTTCCCCAATTAAAAAGTCTCTCAACCTATCTCCAAATGCAGGGTTTCCCATCCCTACAATAGGACTATCAACTGAGTCCAAATATAGTGTAACCTTTGGATGAAAGAATGAATGAACACAAGAGTACATACTTCCAGTTTGTAGATGCTCCTACTATCTCCCGCAACTTATCTCGAACTAAAACAAAAATGAAGAGGTTAGTCTATGAAACAAAGAAATATGAGAAGTAGATTATGACAATGAGCTTAAGAACTATGAAAAGCAATTCATGCACTCAAGACTTTAAGACTCAAATTCCTATTTAATACCTTAACAGCTCAGAGAAGGAATCAGGCCTCTGCTCCCTGAAAATGTGAAACAACTATACTATCTTCTTATTTCAAATAAAAATATCTTTGTGCTAATCATTGGCATTTATATAAACAAACAAAAAATGTTAATTATTCATCCAGTGGGGTTTTATCACTATCAGGAGTCAAGTCCCTTTAAGATGGAAATATTTTGAACAGGATTCCCACTCATCCTCATATAGGCAGTATTATACCAAATTATTTGGTTCAGGAGCCAATAGTAATATTCATATCTGATATATATAGCTATACATAGCATATATGCACATATATGCTAATTGTTATTATATATAAGTATATATACATGTATACTAATATACATTTATTACTATGTATATACATACTAATTGTTAGAACAGTTAAGCCAGAAAAATTAAGCAAAGATGTAAATCAAGGTAAAGTTAAAAATGCAATTTAATTTTAGTTAATGCCCACTGTGCAAGAGTGAATTAGCTTAAAACAAAATGTAAGATCATAACAGAAAAATTGACACTAATTACCACACACACCATGATTCACATGTACTGATGAACATGCTATATGGATAAAGGGAAAATCAATTAGATAATCAGCAGTAACTCAAAACTAAAAAATAAGTCTATCATATTTCATATATTAAGTTCAGGAGGTTTTTTAGCATTTCAAAATATATATTCCAGTTATGGAAAATTAACTTAAAATTATCCTTGGTCCTTCAATAACTAAATGATCAAAACCAAATATGGTTAGATTAACACGGACTTTAACTTTCATGAAAAAATTGTACTGTTTTCTATGAAACAATTGTATAAACGCCACAAATTTGGTACACACTTGAATCACAGTTAAATCATAAAGAACTGCAAAAAATGATCATCAGTAAATAAGTCATTTCTATTTTTTTTCTTCTTGAGTTCCTAAATAAAATAATGGAGATATAATATCCCAATGTAAAGAAAAATTATGCTCACTGACATGAAATGATTCTTACTAGTTTAGTCAGTAAGAAGAGAGGCAGGTACTGAGGGGTCAAGAAGAAAAGTAGAATTTTAAAATTTTATTAACATATTTAGTAAATATACACACATATTTACTTAGACCCTTTAATGAAGCCACAATTTTAACTATAATGAATATTCTAAAGGTAACCCATAGTTGGTATATCATATTAGTAAGTGAACTCTATTAAGCATAGATTAATAGGGTTCCTCTAAGAAAACTATGGACTACAAATCATTAGTTGGGACAACTAATGAATCCACCTCTTATTCAAGCATTAGATCTCTCCCATGTCTCTTCCATGACTTCAGGACTTACAGTAAATAGAAATCATTTAAGTAAAATAATTCATTCCTCAAGGCTCCCAGAAACAACAACTCAAATTCTAAATGTGATTTC